CTGCCATGGTGGCCACTGGAGCCACCTGCACAGGAGCTGAGGCAGCCAGGACCCCTTCCCTGAGGGGTGAGCACTGCAGAGATCTTTTAGATCTTTTAAAAATGTTTGCCTGTACTTAGAGAAGAGCATTCCCATAGGAATGCCTTTATTCCAGGTTGTTGTTTTTTTTTAAACCAAAATAACTCCATGTCTGTCTTCAGGCAACATGAGCAAACTGTCAGTGACACACTCCCAGATCCCTCCACTGCCATGGTGGCCACTGGAGCCACCTGCACAGGAGCTGAGGCAGCCAGGACCCCTTCCCTGAGGGGTGAGCACTGCAGCCACACACCAGCTACTGCACCACAAGCTGCTTCTAGTTCATGGACTTCAGTACTACCAAGCAGTTTTATAGAAAGGCTGTTGGCTGACTTGTGCTCAAATCTTAATAAGGGGGCAAGGCACTAAATTTAAGAGACTTCTTAATTGCTTCTTTAAATACAAGTTTATTAGCCTATAGCGCAACAAGAAATGAAAATGAGCAGTGCCAGAGTTCAGCCTCAGCAAAACGTGGAAGGGATCCTCACTCCAGCCCTTATTTAAAATAAACACACCCCCCAACAGTTCTTTATGCTGTATTTGATCAACCTCTGCATTTTTCTCTTACAGTATGTGAATGGCTGTGGCATGGCAATGAATCCTCTCATGCTGCAGGAGACCAGGACTTGCAGAGCACCAGGCAGGCTGGCTTTTTCAGTGTGCTCTGTCCAGGTACATGTGGCAGACACTACACAGCCAAAGCTGCAAGGAAAAACTGCTCTCAACTGGGAGAGAAGGCAGCAGTGAGAGCAGATTGTACAGAGTGAAAAGTGGGCAGATGGGCACAGGTGAGAGCCACTGTCACTCGGGATTCAGCTTCGGGTCCTGGCTCTGGTGGCCCTCCCACCACGACCAATTTTCATCCTCAGTCTCCACCACTGGAATGTGAATATCCCCCTTCTTGCCTCACCTCTCTGAATTTTCAGGTGGCCACAGCCAGCAAATCTGCCCTCTGCATCAACACACAGCTGCTCTGGCTGGGGCGGAATTCCCCGGCTAAATGACACGTGCAGTGCAGCTCACCTGCGAGCAATGGGAAGAACACCAAGAAGCCTGCAGTGTTAGAAAGGAACATTTTATTGCAAGAGGTTACAAACCTGGCACTATGGCCAAATGTTTCCATTACATCACAATTGCTACCCATGTATCAGGCAACAGCACCTACAAAGCATGGTGGATTGAAATATCAAATCATAATGCAGTCAGCTTTTTAAAGAAAGAACCACCCTAAAAAGTTTGGGGTTTTCTTTAAACAAACTCAAAACTATATAAATCAATTTTAAAAATATGAGACTGGTGTTTAAATATCCAGGCCACTAACTACTGTTATAAAAAGTGGAAAAGTCTGTTAACCATGGTGCTGAACTACACAAGGTTTGTTCACAGCCCATAACCATTTAGTTAAAAGCAAGTCCTTGTTATTCACTGCTAATATTTCCACATTTGTTCAGCCCAATTTATCTTCTGTAGGTTTTCAGAATCAGGTAGATTTAATGCATAACCCCTCTTTAAAGCACTGCAGGAAACCTAGAACCGTAACTAGCCCAGGAAAAGCATCACAGTCCAAATAACTGCACCTTCCCCTGTCAGTCCTGTGACACTGACCTTTAGAAACTCTGCATGCTCTTCTCTGAGCCCCAACTGATAGCTCGCATTTCTGCTGTGACCACTTACCTCAAAAAGCTCGGTGATTTCCCTGAGCATGGCTGAGGCAGAGGGAGCTAGCGCAGGCTCACAGCTCAAACCCGACCCGGGCTCACAGGACTGGACCACTTACCTCAAAAAGCTCGGTGATTTCCCTGAGCAGGGACAGGACTGTCACTGCCCTGGGCACGGCCGCGCTCGCTCCCCTCCCAGCAGCTCATCAGGGACCAGCGCCCACCTCCTGACACTGCTGCCTGCAGTGAGCCCTGAGCAAGAAGCTGATCTGTGGCTGAGCTGGGCCCCTCAGCCCTGGGAGCAGCCCAGCTCCCACAGCTGCCCAGGCCGCAGGGAGCAGGGCCGGGCACACGGCAGTGAACGCCCACCATTGCTGTGTGCTCGCCTCTGTGTTCCAGGCCTCAACACACCACCCCTGGGCAGCAGCTCCCGCGGGCACTGTCATCACCTACCCCAAGTTCTGCAGAAACATCTCTTCAAGGAATGCAAGCAGTTTTACATCTGAAGAGATTTGGAAATATCACTGGGACTAGGGAATATAGGCCATCATCTTATGAAAAGTGTATGGGGATGGTCTTCTACAATTTTCCTGAGGCTACTACTAAAGAGACCTTTAGCAGAATCTAGGATAACTTCAGAAACAAGTAGGACTGTGATAAACAACCAAAATCAACCCAACAGAAATCACTGTGCCACTGCAGCCTTTACCCCAGAGCAACCTAAGCCATCCTGAACAGAGTGGCACTGGTGTTGAGACGAGCAGCTCTGCAGGTCCAGCCCTGCAGCACAGACCACCAGAGCCCCTCAAGCCACATAAGGTCAGACTGCCATCACAAAGTGACCGATTTCATTTACCCTCTTCTACTACATTATTTAGAATTTTGGTAACTCCAGAGAGGGGGATTTTATATTTCCTTGTAGATAATGATAAAAAATATCTGTATTTCCACACAACAGAAATCAGGAAAACAAATAGCCCCACTTGAGGACTAGAGGCTAAGGACAGCTAGTAGTACTTTTTTTTTTTTAAAGATTATTCAGCCTGTATCAACCACATATACAATTAATTTAGTAATCAGAAGAGTTCTAGAACTCCTACATATTTTTTGAACTACACCAGAAGGCCAGCAGGGCACACAGCCTGTTACTGAAAACTGTTCTTCATCAATAGAATCTCATTTTGGAAACTGATCAGCCCTAAAGCTCACTGCTCTTCAGACACAACCTTGCATTTTTATTTTAGTATTACATAAAGCAGCTCATAATTGGGGTTTGATTAATTAAATAGAATTAACTAGAGTTTTAAAAATTCTTTTTATGAATCTAGTAAGAGTCTTTTGCTAATGCAAAATTCTGCATGGTATGGCTTCACCTTACAAGCATTCTTAACAACACTAGATAAATATCATTTGCACTTAATTGATTTTTTCATTTGCTAAACAGCCATAAAATACAGTGCTCTCACAAGCACCTTTTTTGGTGAGAAGGGTAAACAAGCACTCTATTAAAGCATTATAAACATTCAAGGTGATGTGATCACTTCCCTCTATTCTGTTTCAACACACTGCTTTAAATCTTCAGTTTTCACATCGTATAAAAAAGTTCCACAAGTATCCACAAATTCAGAAATTTCTTAGTCTGCATACACGATTTGTCTGCAATACACTTCAACATCCCAGTTATCTTTTCTAAAATTTCTAAAGTATTTATTCCTCCAGCCTTTAAATGTAATGATGTAGATTTTCCACTTGCAAGAGAATAAATTTCAACAAGAAAGCTAAACTTAACTGTAGCAATTTGTACAGTTGAACACCTGACACCACTAATTTAATGACAGCCTTGACAGAGCTAGGATGGCCTTGTCTGAGGCCTCTGTCTTGCACAGCTGTGCATTTTTAGCCCATCCATTCTATCAGAACATTAACAAGCCTCATGTGTTAACTCTGAACTCTGTGCATCCAGGAAGACAGACATTTATTCATACTTTCCACCAATCAAATGTAATGCATCTGTGAACAATTCAGTTTATTGCAAGTAAATGTACTTTTACTTAAGATCATGAGAAGATTCTAATCTCAAGCAAGACAAATCAATTCCACAAACTTAATTCACACAATGCAAATAAATGCTTCACATTATAGACATTTAGATTTTCTTTAAACCTTTTTATTTAGAGATTTTTCTGGTAAGGAGATATACCATAGGAAAGCAATTTCACTGGCAGTGAGGTATGTATATACTCTACCAAAATACTCCTCTTGCTTTAACTGCTTTTAACTTTATTTACATATAAAGAAAATATCAATGCATATCCTTGGCTTAACTACAGTATCTGTTACCCTATATGAGTAAAATGAAATGTTACTTGCATACAAAATTGATTTGTAGAGGAATCTAATTTGATTAAAACAAAAATCATGTTCTGAAGACAGTTTAAATGAACAAACACAATTCATCATGACCAAGACACCTGCACCATATTTCCATCCTCACAGCACATTTATTTCAATAATTCTGTAAGTAGGTCCTTAGCATGAGCATAGTGTTACAGTTTTCATACATATAATCACATCCAAAACAAGCTCTAAAATTTAAGTTGTAAACATTCTCTTCATATGTGGAAACATTTCAATCTGTGTTTGAATTTTCTAAAATGATCAATCTTTTAAACAGAATTATAAATGAAAAGCCTACTCTAACCGTGTAGTGAGCAATGCTTATTAGTACATTTCTACAGTGTTAAATAAAATAGTAGAGGCAAACTTCTGTAAGCAAGTCAGACTTTAAGTAAATTGTCGTAAAAGTAACAAACTTGTTAACAAAAAGATGCTTTGTAATAAAGAAAGTTGGATTGAATCTACTATGATACAAAAACATAAGGGTAAATACCATCTTTGTTGACAAGTAGGAGGTAGCATGGATGCACCACTTTATTGTCAGTGAGAAATGCAACTGAAGTAAAGAATATTTCCTTACCACAAATTTCCAGTATTATGTACATATTTCTCTTAGAAATTTGTTTAAACAAGTTTCCCTCCACTTTTTAGTACAAAAAGCCTCATGTGATTTAAAAAAAACACTTACACACCTAGATAGAATAGTACTAATTGCCCTATTTGAACGAAACAGTCTCTTGAACTATGAAGTACATGGTATTTAATGCCCTAAGTTGAGTAAATTGTATTAGCAGTTCTTGGTATTATACAAAACACTACATACATACAAACAAAATATAATAGTATCTTATTTTACTATGTAATTCTTTTTGGAATAAACAGAACCTTGATTTGGGTAACACTGAAGAGAACGTGGTTTCTTTGTTTTATTAAAATCTGTCCTTTAAGTACCCATGTGCAACAATTTAAAAATGGCTGCCATACATATAATGGTCTTGTATTGATAGTGAACACAGTAACTGACAAAAACATAATAAACCTTAAAAACACATCTTCCACCCTATATAAAATATAAAGACTACTTACTGTAACTGTTAAGTATTCAATTTATTTTGATGTTACTGTAATCCACTTCCTCTATTTTCTGTCTTTAGCATTTATAAACATAATTTAGTGTAGCCATTTATTTTAAAAAATGAAGTATTTCAAATTTACATCCAATTAAAATTTAAAATGTTTCTGTGTTCTATGATGCTGCTTCTGCCATCAGTAAAGAAAATGAAGTTTCAGTAATGGAAGCAGGCTTTTTAAGTAGTGATGTGACCTCAACCATGCCAGCTCCAGTCCGTGGAAGATTTGCGTTGACAATGTGTCGCTGCAAGTGCTTTATCCAGTCTTCTTGAACAGACAAAGGTCCTCGAAAGACCAGACCACAAAACCTATGCAAATATTAAAATTAATTCATCAAGATACATCTATCTCTACTGAAAAATTATAAGAAAAAGATAGTAAGAGGAAATTAATTTTCTTGAAGTTTGTTTCTGCATGTTTTAGCTGAAGAACTTAGTAATTGAGTAAATTAGTAACTGCGAGCACAAAACCCTGCAGCTTATACAACTCACATTCTCACACTTTCAATACCAGTAATAACAATCTGTTGTTCTTATATAAGGTTTCTTTTGAAGGACAGAATATTACTCAGACACAACCATTAAGATTTTAGTTAGAGAAACAAATGGCAATCTAACACCCAAGTGTGACTGAATCAAATCCTTTTGTTTAAATTAATGAAAAGAGGCAATTCGTTTCCCCCCTCATTATTCAATTTAATCACAAACATTTATGGATACAGTAATGAATCCCTTTAGGACTAACATTAGTAAGCTCCTAAGAACGTATTCTTCCAACTAAAGTAACACTGTGTACCTGCATCTGAGTATGTAAACTTCATCAGCACTATGAGGTAACGGCAGCATTTTCTTCTTGCTTCCAGATCTTGACCTTGACTTCTTTTGTTTACAGTCTAAAGCTAAGAAGAGAAATTTTCATATGTGAAAGTAATACTTCAATGAGTGTTAGTCAAACAGAGATATTCAGCAAGTATTCCCTATAGCAATAATGAAAAGACCTCTACCTTCTTGTTTTTCTGTATTTAATTATAAGGTAAATCCAAAACAATTACAGTGTATTCTAAGAAATACGCTGGTAGAACACATGAAGCTGGTTTTTTTAGGTTAGCATTGTGCTTGCTCTTTGAAAGACTAGATAATTGACATTCAGCATTAAACTGTTGTTTTAGTATCAGCAAGCACCTACAAACCTACTGCAGAATTATACATAAGCAAAGCACCACTGGAAATTCCCTTTCATGCATATAACCCTGTCAAAATCTCAGAACTTGTTTTGTAGTTCAAGTACCATCATAAGACCACTCATGTTCAACCAAGTTACAATTTTATGAAGTTGTAGCTTTCAGCTAGTACAATCAGGAATTTCTAGTTTGAATAAAACACCTGCCATTTGTTGTCAACACAAAGCAAAAATTTGTCCTTTTGTTCTAAGAGTTACAAATGAAGCTTCCCCTTCACTCCTGTCTGAATTCTAATGAAGCTTACAAAAACTATGTATTAGTCCTTGGCAGTGGGAGCTGGTATTAGGACAACCAACGGGGATGGCAAGGCCACTTTTTAAATTCAGTCTAAGCATTTGAAACTGTATGAAAGTAACGTGTGTGAACAGGAAGCATATAGCAAAGGAGTTCAGACAGCTCTGAGGTCTGTATCTCCCATAAACAAATGTAATGGGAATCAGAAACAAAACCTGGAGATTCTAAGAAGCAAAGTGGGGGATGAGTGGATTAAACTGAATTAATATTGTTATGATACAAACAGCTGATAAAGCTCAAGAAGTTTGCGACTGTTTGAACTGAGAAGTGTATCTAGCTACACTCTATACCAAAACACAAGACACCAACAATATAACTCCAACACAAAATCTTTTGCAAACAACCAGTTACACCACTTGAACAAAAACTCCACAGAAACCAGAAAGACAGTACCAGGTGGTATTCTTGATACCAAGAAGGCATAATGCTATGCTACTGAAGCATCTTAACAGTAAAATGGAAAAAAAAAAATTGTTACACTTGGCTAAAGTTTTGACTCCTAGAATATAAAACAGAAGAATTAACCTCTTAGCATTCTGAAGCATAAGACATTGTCTGGTGCGGTAAAACATGTTGATTTAAAGAACACACAGTCTTGATTGTATCCTTAATTTTAATCAAGCCCTCCAAATGAGCACATCTCAAGCTTTTACCTTGTACCCCAACTTCCAACTTGGTAGACATAATAGATGTTTTCCAGCTCTATCCCAGGACTTAAAGATTTCTACCTATCTAAAATTTAGAATGAATTTCTGAGGTTTGAAGGTATCAGAGAACCAAAAAAATAAGTGGAAAGCAGACACCAACCTAGAGAGACTTCTTCAGATCAACATTAGGAAAATGACGCTTAACAGCATTTTTTTCTGACAGTAACAACAAAATCAGTCTGGATAAAAAGGCAGTAACCCAAGGTGGCAGGGGGGAAAGAGAGAAATGGCCAAGATGCTTGTGGAAAAGCATCAAGGGGTTCTTAATATTTCATTCTCTCACAAGAAACATATTCTTCATTTAATTAGGAAGAAAAAAGCTAACTATCATATCAGGTAGGAACTACCACATATGTAAGTGTTTTACATACTGCAACTTCAGTAACACCAGCAGCAATGTAAGCAGATAAAACACTGGAACCCAGACACCCATGCTTTGAAGAGAACTGTTGGTATGAGGCGCAACTTATCTGCAGCACTTACTACAGCAAAAGCTTTGCCTTTGCCATTTGTGGAACATCATGGGAAGAAGGGAAACAGAAGTTGGTAATACCCGAATGCGAACGTGTCTGTGAGTTGCATCTGATGACAAGTTAGTTGATGTCATTTTATATGAGTGGAAAAAAAAAGAAGGAGTAGTGAAAACAGACTCCTGCTAGACAGGCCAACCTGCATTTGGAACAAGAACTTGCTGATTTCCTTGATGTTGGCAAAGACATTCATTCTCATGAAAAAATTTGATTCTACTCACATGCATCTGAAGCATTTCAGAGAGCTTTCCCTTTCGTATAAGACCTGGGTTGGTCTTCTGCAACAGACTGCTGACACCTAATGGGTTGTGTGTGTGTGTATAATTTTCTGAGAAAAAAAACCCCTCTGAACTACTGTGCAATCAAACAACAGCAATACTGACAGAAATTGCCATAATTAAGCAGGAAAGGTAGTTTCTACTTCCTTGAAAGCTATCTTTTCCATGAACAGTGAGAAAACGAGGAAAACAAAAGGGCATGTTCTCTCAGCCATTTATGATGGAGGCTCTATATAAGGAAATTATAAAACAAAGATAAGAAAATACCACAGTAAAAGATCATAAAAAAAGGACTCAGATTATGCTACAAATTCTCAGAGCAACTTAGCTAAATTTGAAAGTAGATTTGCCCAAGCAAGAAGCTGTTATAAAAGACAGAAAACACTAAGAAGACAAATCCTGTGTTCTGCAAGGGTAATTTTTTTATTCCCTTTGTGTTCTGAGACAGTGAACATATTCTTTCACATTTCAGGGAGCTCAAAGCAGCACCAGTATGCTTTGAAGTTACTCCAGTGAAGATGGAGAGTGAGTGAAGAAGGAGGAATGTCTGAGTAAAGCTCATTGAAAACTACAATTCAAACAGCAGTTATGAGGCATGCGTATCAATAACCATCACATTAATTTCATTTTGTCTATCCAGAGAACAAGTTTAAATAAAGTTACATGCACACACTTGAATACTCTGTTGATACAATGCTTACAAGTGGTTGCAAACTCAACTAAATCACACAATTGCCTCAGCCACTGCCTCCCCATAAAGCAGCCATGTTCTGACATGAAGTTCTGACCAAAACTCAGTTCCTGCTTTTTCTATGCCTTTACTGTAACAAAACATTACCTCCTCAGAAAGTCTTTTATCATGTCTGGGAAGAGACCAAGGTTAGTTTAGCTCTAGTAAGCTGCATGGAAACTGCAGCAAATTGCTAGAGAGAGGTAGGAACTACTGATCATTAACAGCTACTTTGTAGTTATAACAGCTTCAAACTACCATTCCTCATTCTCCATAAAGACCTACTTCTTTTTGGAAGAACTCTCTTTCTTTCAAGTTTGGCCACCTGGTGTTTCCTAGTTGATAAATGAAAAACTTCCTGTAAACAACCAGTCACAACATCCTCAAACTGCTGACAGACCTTGATGGAGAAACAACCCATTTAAAACAAAAGACTATCAAACTTTGGAGGATTCTACTTGAGATAATTATGTACAATTTCAGAGCACACTACTTCAAAAAATATATGCTAGGTAAAACCACTGCATACAAAAACCTCTGTGATGACTTATCAAGAAAGACTACAAGCAGATGGACACAGGGGTTTCAATGAGCATGCCTATGTGAATTAGACAGGTCATGAGTAGATGCCCTTTCATGCCATGACATTTGGTGTGCAGTTCCAAATTAAAATGCTCTGCTTCCTGATGTCCCCCAACATGAAATGCTTCTTCTTTCAGGAAAACTGAAGCTGGGTCTTTTATTCGGACTTCATTACTTTTGTCAAAGTGTACATAAACTAGAACGAGTTGAATAATTGGACATAGAAATGGAACTAATTAACCATTTGAAAACATTGCCAAGTAAAAAATAATGAACTATCTTTCTTGTACATTTAGTCACTAATTTTTCAAATTCATTTACGATCTCTCCTCATCACAACTGCACAGTGAAGTACGTTGAATAAACACCTCCTACCATTTGCTCTCTGTAGGATTTTATAAGATGTTGAAAATGAGCTCATCATGTCAGCTGATTTGTTATGACTGTAACAGCACAGAACAATGACACACAAAGCCAGAAGATCTCAGAGTCCTGCATGTTTGATATGCTTCCACCACAACCATTCCAAAGCTACAAGTTTGACAAAACAACTTGAACAATTATTTGAACATGTAGTAGCCCTCATGAACCACTACCTCAGCCACACTGCTGGCTTGAAGGCCAGACTCCTTGCTCTGTACTTTATTGCTCTCTCCCAAACTTCTGACACAGCAGTCTCCACCTATAGAAGCAGAGGCCAAAGAAGAAAGTGGTGATTCCCAGAAGATGAAAGCCAGTAAGAAGAGACTGAGTGTGTGAAAAGGGTCAACAAAGAGAAGATGTAAAAAGCCAGGGTGTAAGAAAGAATCAAGAGACTTGGGGAGAGCCAGGGCAGGAGGGAACAAGAGAAGCCCAGAGAGAAAAAAAGAAAGGAAGCTGAATAAACAACTATACAAAGAAGAGTGAGATGCATTTTGAAGATTTTGTGTAGGTTTGTTCAATGCTCTAAAGATACTCAGAAGAAAGAAGCAAATTGACCACCTGCTCTGAGAAACACCAGTGTGTGGCTATACATCAAAATAGGTATAAAAGGAAATTAACATCTAATCAAGATGAGTGATTAAATTGTTAAAAAGTGGACTGAATAATAACAACAAAAAAGGTTCCAGCCAGACCTCTGAAGACACGGGTACTTGCTCTACAGTGGATCTATAACACATTAGTATAGGCACAAATAAAGTTTAATAAAGATTAACCTCAAACAGCCAACAGCCTAGGAACTTTCACTTCTAGGATGTTTTTCTTGAGTCTATTCTCCAAAGCTACCATTACGCTTAACTATGTTTATTATACTGCTAAAACTGTCAACTTGCATTTGAAAAGAAACATAGGCTAAGATTTAACTAAATATGATGACATTACTGACTGAAGAAGCAGGATGTCTGCTAGAAGAGCAATATGACAACAGTCAATATCAAAAACACGTGCAGACAAATGGAAAATCTGAGACTAGTACATAAGCTAATGTAATGCTTGGAAAGGTGTCACTTGGTGGCATGCAGGGATCTCGTATTTCTCATGTTATTTTCCTGATAAATAGTAGTGCCTAGACAGGTCCCATAACAACTGCCAGATAAAAGAATTACACCATTCATGTTTAGACACCATTATTTTATTAGAGCAAGAAACTAAGATAATTATTCAACTGAAATGTTTTAGTTTTGGTAGTTATGTTTGCTTTAGAAGATATAAGAAAGGCTAAATGAGAAGCAACATGTATAAACATGTCCTCATTTCTCCATACAATGTCTGAAGACCACTGAAGGTTTAGCTGTGGCTGAGGCCCAACTGAAGATATCTCAAAATTGCTCTCAACCACAACCATCTTTTAATAAGGAAAACCCGAGATCTACTCAAGAGCAACACTCATAACAAGAGTGTACTTGTGTGTACTTTAAAACTAGTGTGTACTAGTGAAATCTTGCATTAAAATAATTCTCTTCACAAAACTTATATTACGAAGTGGAATATCAAATAGAACAATTGTTTAAAAGCATATTTTTTGGTGTACAAGCCTTGCATTAAGCTTGCTTGAGTGAGAAGTCAACGAGCAAAGTTTACAATCTTCACAGAGTTGCAGGACAACAATGACTAAGTTGCTAAAAATATACATTGGCATGATGTTACAGCTAGAACTCAACATTGACTCCTTAAGTCGATGGTTTCAGTGACAGGCCTTTATCCATGGTATAAGTTATTTATCTGGCTTAGCTCCAGCTTCTGAGAGCAAAAGATTTTTTTTTCCCCAAACTTTTGTTTCTAACCTTTTATTTAAACTTCCAACCTAATTCAAAACCAACTTGTAGGTCCAATGATAGAAAACTCATGAGTTTTCTTTCCATTCTTTTAAGAAAATGGAAACCTGCTCTGATGACTATGCAACTACTTCAATAGCAAAATACGTTTCATAGAGAAAACAAACAAAAATCCCTGAAATTACCTAAACCAGCTTCCTTCACTTTTCCCACTTAGCAAGAGGGAAGCTAGGTACAAAGTGCTTGTCTAGGATGCAATCTCTGTACTATCCTATATGCCAGTGTCTCCTTCATTGATTTACTGTTAAGTTATTAATGTGCAATTTAAATATATAGCTATTGAAAAATATTTCCTCTGTAGGTATATAAGAAAAGGAACTTACCACAGGGATAACATCAAATCACAGCAGTGGTAAATGAAGTTCACTACCATCACCCTTCTACTGAATAAATACGAAAACTTTCAGAATCACTGACTAAAGGCATATTCTTCTACATGTTAGGCATTACTATGTCTGCTGACTTCCTTCCAAATCTGCTTTGTTGCAGCACTAATGTAAAACAACAGAAGATCTGGCAGCCACAGGCCTGTATTACAAACACATTACTTTCAGCCTTCTACAGAGAAAGCCTGCTACTCAGTTTGTCATTCTTAGCATAATGAATTACATTTGCAGATCAAAAAAGGATTACGCATTTTCCAAGAGCATTATGTAAAAGTCTGTGTTTGTTGACACAAAAAACTGATGGTTGCCCTTCTTAATTACAGAATATTTCAGGCTTCATATCTCCAAAATTTCCTCATTATATTGCATCTCTGCTCCTCAATTTGCTGTTGACCATGTGAAGTCCCACTAATCTCAGCAATAATCCAAGTTAACTCAGAAACTGCCTGCAGCCAAGCAAGCTACAGGTCTCTGAAAACAAATCAAAATATGGCATATTAGAATTTCAAAATGAAGTGTGTTTTAATAAAAAACATTAATAGCAGTGCCAAATGCTGTACTACCCTCATTCAATGTCAGAACAGGTAGTTTTTGGGTTGTGAGCCAAACAAGATATGAAACCAACTACATATCATATGTTGTTAGAAATATACAGAGTGTAAAATAACTTGTTTTTCCTATTCTACTGGAGTATTCTTTGTAACTATATGTACTAGACAGTAAAAACTACTTGTTGTATCGTCGCCTTTTTTCTCCCCACCACTCTCATTTCTGAGATACTTTAAAACACTTCATTAGAAGGCAAACTATCTGGTTTGGAAGTTGCAATATCATAAGAGAATGAATTAAGCAACCATCTCTTAGTTTTGCTTACATACCTTAAATGTTGGATCCAAAATCAAAGACTAAGAATGAAAATCAGACACGAGAGTGGACAACAGCAACATACATTTTCTTACAGGTTGCTGAAGTTTTATGGCAAATAAATTGTTTACCGGCAGAAGCTTCAGAATTATTTTGAATTAACATATGCTTTTGTCCAGTCTGATGAAGAAAATGTATCATAGACAGACTTGCTTTTACATCTGTAACAAAACATACCTGTCCCAGTCAAAAGTCCAGCACTCTTCTTTCGTGCATAAGCGCGTAAGTGGTTGGACAGGCTAACAGCACTTGTAAACGTCGTATTGCAATGCACACACGTTCTAAGCTTCACAGGCATACCTATCATTCAAAAGAAAACTATAATCCAGTTCTCTCTTCAAAAAATGAAATTCTCAAAGCGTTGTAAAAAGTTTTCTGCAATAAAGATGGTTTAAAATATATTCACTGCATTGACGCAATTGTTTAGTATATTAGAAGGATCCAAGTTAACCGATATTAGTTTTCCACCTAGTGCTTTAAGCCAAACCATGTTATTTGAAAAAGAACAGAAAGGAGGCAACTTGAGCCCAGTAGGCTACTCTGCATTTAATACCTACTACCAAGCTCCTACAGATCTCCACATAATGAAGCTGTAATTCCAAAATACAATCCTGCAATTTGAATAGCACAATTCTGTTGAGAAATTTCAGAGCTTTCAGAATTTCCAATAAAGAGAATTTGAAAAGTCAAGTTGACAAAGTGGTAATTAAAAGTGTTTTACCCATAAGACTAAAGCACTCACTACTAAAATTAGGCTGCTGTTGAAGGCTCAGAGAAAAAGGTGGTAAAACACACCACTGAGCAGCTGTTAGACAAAACATTTTGTTCAGTGCATTTTCTATTCATTACTTTAGATGCACAATTGATAATGAAAGTAAATTATTTGAAGGTTTTTTGCTAAAATCTTTGTGCTAAATAAATATCAACAAAGCAACATGCTATTTATCACACGAAAACAATGAAACAATACTGTTCATACTTTCAATACTGAAACTCCTCACTTACAGACAAAGAAACCATTGTAACTTATCTCCTCCTCAACTTCACAATATTTCTCCCTGCATTTTACCACAGATATATTGTTTTGGTGAACTAATATTTCAGGTTCTCTACTAATAAATTATTAGAAGAATAAATGAAAAATCTAAAACAACTCAGCTGAAAAGTCTCTGCAGGAAAGAAAGAATGCTATTCTCCAGCAGCCCACAGAAGACATGCTGTTTTTTCAGGCAAGTTACGGAAGAAGAACACCTGGTTGGTAAAAGCCTTTGTAAAACTAAAACCAGAATTAGAATATTTGCCTTTTTTAGGAAAAAAAGAAGATTTTCAACTTGATGTTAAATATTTTCTTATTAACTCAACTGGCACAGTGCGTTAGTTATCAAATTCTGTTACCTCAGCCACAGAAAACTATCGGGCCCCATTCAGAACTGTTAGTACTATGCGAGCATATTTTTATTTTTACTTGTTGTTCATCATAACCAAACAGGTTCTACCTAGTATTGAGCAGTAAATATTACACAGAAAGCAAAACACAGTGTCAGGTTTGGCAAGCTATTCCTCTGAGCATTATTTTTCAAATCATTAAACCTGTCAAAGATACACTTCCTTTATTAAGCAATCTCCTGTCTTAAGGGACAACCACAGATGTACAGAAGACATAAAATGTAATTCTTTTCCACTTCTACTATGTCATTTTAGAAAGCCACCCTTCTTAAGAGATTTATTGCCACACTTTTATAGCCCCTAAAAGAACTTCTGAGCACATCAGATTGTTGGGGTTTTTTGTTTAAAGAAAGAAAAGAATACAGGTGAAAAAGTACTAGGCACTGCCAGTTTTACTAGCCTGCTCCATAACAAGAAAAGAAACAGCACAAAAAAAGTCAGGGGTATAAAAATAAGATCCTGCTCTCCAGTCTTGAGAATCCTGTAGCATTGGTGGTGTCCAACCAAGAAACCAGTAAATGCAAGCTCTATATACACATTAAAAAGGATGTTGTAAGAGTTCCCCAAGACTAGAAATAATTCTCATGTGACAAGTAAGTTAAAAACATCACCCTAAAAGCCTGCTCTATTAGTATACAGAGTAGCTAGGAAGTTGATTGCAGAATTGTTTCATTAGCACAATTCTCAGTGGAGGGACAATCTAGGTCCTCATTGGTTAGAGGCCATGCACTGGAAACCTGCTGGCTACAACTGTATGCCAACAAAGCTTGAACCAGCACAGGTTGTCACTCAGGATAGTCAGACCCTAAGCAAGCATGAGTTTCTCACAGCAGCCACAATTTGCAACAAACAAGAATTAATCTATGTTGTAAGAGTATGTTTGCCTAAAACCATCAAAATTAGTTGACAGTGATTCACCAATCTGAAGTATTATGCATTTATAATGGTATCAACAGTTCTGTTAGTTTGAGCAAATGCTGCCTTGCACAAACTTTGAAGACTTAAAAGCAGTATTCCTAAACCAGCTGTTTCAATGCCCAAAAACAGGGTTGGCAAGCTCAAACATTTCAGAACTGTTAGTCTACCAAATATGCACGGACACTTCAACTTTTTTACTGCAGGATGTGTCTTCTTCCTTACTGAGGCTCACTTTGTGTCCACTTTCAATGTGCAAGCCCAGTCATAAGCAGAACAGGAACTATACTCAATGGAAAAACCCTTCAGTGCTGCTGAGGGGTTTTCACGAAAAACATGTCAGAAAAAATTTGCTGTGCTACCTCTCGCAGTCAAGTGTCCTCTGGAAATGAAACAAGAATTAAATGAATAGAATCCCAAATAAAATACTCTGCACTTGTACATTTTCTATGAATGATATGATTCTTTGGAAATGATGTCAAGAAACACCTTCTTACCTGACTGCATAGTCAAGTCCATTTTTTGTGGCTGATACATCAATGGACTGTCTTCATTTAATGGAAGAACACATTTCTGAACAAACCTCTTTCTTGCAGTTTGATTATGAATCTTTTGAGGGGAAATATCAGGATTCCTTTCTTCTCCTAACCTCTTGTTTTTCAGGAGTTCTATCAGTGTAAGTGACTGATTTCTTTTTTCATCATGTAGCACTGCTTTTGTTTCATCACATTCATTTAGGAAACTCAGCCCTTCTTCCTCCGATGCAGACACAGAGATATCTTCAGTCTTTAAGCCGTTATGGTATGCTTCAAGAGGTATAACATTCTGAGATAAAAAGTCATCATTTGATGCAAATTTCTGAGCAACAAATGGTCTGGGAATAATACGGCGACTGTTCAAAGCCTTTAGAATTTTTTCATACTTCTCTTCATTTTGCATCATCTCATTCAGAACACAGATAGGAGACTTGTGTGCGTCCCACTTGGTTTTGCCAAGCCTCTTCAGGTGTCCTCGCACATGATTAGACAATCCAATTTTAGTATCGAACCAGCCACCACAGAGCTGACATGTATGCTCAGAGGAAGTTTCAGATTTCTCAATCGCTACAAAGAAAATAATTATAATGTTTTTTGACAATTATATACAGTTAAACATGACAACTGCAAATCACAAGAAGAGAGGCTTCACAAGAAGCTAAAGCAAGCCTTGTTCAGTGCTCAGTTAAGTTCCTTTGTCCACCCAACTTTGTACCCAAATAAAAAAACAAATCTTACCTTTTCTAACACGTTTAACTGGAGTCCCTGTTCCAGCTCTTTTAAAATGCTGCATTTTGTCACTTGTTGCTATCTGTTCTGGTGAAACAACGTGACGGGCTTCATAGCTTAGTCCAGCTCTGTGAAGATGTCCTCTGACATGATTGGACAAGCCAACACCTGTTTCAAAGGTTGCTGGACAGTATGGGCACGATTTCTTTTCAAGCGACAAATCAGTCCAGTGGAAAACTGAATTATGCTTTGGCAATGCTGATCCTACATTTTCTAAATTCTGAGGATCATGCAAGTCATGCAAGAAGTTACTACCCTCAGCATCTTCGTAATACTCAAAATAAAAGCCATCATTCTGCTCATAACCAAGTGAAGATTTATCACCAGCTTCATTATCTTCCATTTTACCTTTGAATATGGGGAATAGGTTTACATGCTCCTGATTAATATCACTGTAAGATTCATCCTCCACAGACTGTGTAGTGTAATCACATAGTTCAACATTATCCCATGAACTTTCATCCTCCGTTTCATAGCTGTCTTTTTTTTCAGCAGAGTTTAGTTTCTGTAAAACAACAACAGTCATTTTATGCAGAAAATCTGGATAGCAATCCAAATCATCTCCTGTAACAGAGCCTTCCCTCTTGGATTCTTTAACCACTCTCTTTACAGCTACATGCCTATGATCTTTACAGCCTTCTGCCCTTTTGCAATCAAGGCTATTTGAATCCATGACAAAACAATTATTACTTGATGAAGAAAATAAATGTAAAGCATTGACAGATTTGGACTCTTCCTTTTTTAAATGCAAAGGGTAAGAGTCACTAGATTTTTTAATAATCCTGTAGTTTTCATATTTGTGTCTATACAAATAATTACTTTTTTTGGCACTAGCTTTCTGCTTTGCTGCTTGACGAAAACATTTACGTTTTTGGTCAATGCTATTTCTAATAAAAAAGTTCTTGTTTGTAGAATTTAGATTGCACACACTTACAGATGACTGTGAAACGCTTTTCCGAGCCTTCTGTATCCTGTAGGGTCTCTTGTGAAGTTTTGCGAAGTTACTGGATTGTGAAGTAGAGCCAAATGATCTTTTTACATCCTGTTTTAAAGCAGAGTTCTTTGGAAAAGTAGAAGAATGTTTGATCAACTGCTTTGTCCTGCTACGAAAATCTAAAGATTCTTCTATTAAACTGCCTTTTCTTTTCTCTAGTCTAAGATGGCTACCAAAGGGATCAAGGCATGATGCTGAATGCAAATATGCCATGTGTTTTTTTAAAATGCTTCTAGCTGAAGTAGCAAATGGACACAGCTTACACATATACGTAGATGACTTTCTTGAGGATCCTAAATAAGGATCTTTCAAGGATGCCTTTTTCTGACTTTTTCTCTGGGACAAGTCGCTACCAATAATGGAACATTTGACTACTGCTCCATGAGCGATCCCTCGATGGCACTCCAGTTCATTTTCTGTCACAGCCATGAAATTGCATTCCTCACAACAGTAATATCTTTTATCTTTTTCATGGGTCTTTGCATGCTGCACAAACGTTTTGGGACAATTGGTACCAAATACACACTGTGGGCATTGTAACCGTGCACTCCTACCCTCATCCTGAAGCTCTTTCAGCTCACGGATTTCTTCCATCAGTTTCTGCCTTCTTTCCTGGTGGATTATCATATGTTTAAGAAGTGAATTACGATCTCGAAATGTCCTTCCACATTCCCTACATGCATAGGGCCTGGGGACATTGAGATGCCGGAAATGACTGTTCCCATCTAAATGGTACATCATATGCCTATGCAGATGTTTCTTCTCTCTAAAATTCACATTGCACTTTGTACAGGGATAAAATGATGGTTCATCAGTACTGAAAGTAGATGGTGGTTCAGAATCATTCTCTTCACATTTGTTTTTCAAAGTATTGGATAGAAAAGTGCTAGTGTGAACAGGAGAAGTATCTTCTGCACAGTTACTAGTGGGACTATAAATGAGCTGCTGGATACCATCAACAGTTTCCAGCTCTTCATCTGTAGATTCAGGCTTTACTTTACTCAAAGAATATTTCTGTGGCTCTACTATTTGTAGCTCCTCATTCTGCTCTAAGAATTCAACATTTAATAGTTTTGATTTACTAGGAATACAACTGGTATCATCAAAACAGTCTTCGGTATAGCGTGTTATTTTACTAACGTCCATTTTCCTTTTTCGCTTCTTTTCTAGCCCTACCTTACAGTGAATGGGAGACTTCTCTACTGTTTCTTCATTAGTCATAAGAAACTGTATAAACTCTTTCTGTGGATCCCAGCTGGGATCACATCCCGATCTGAAGCCACCTGTACCTGAGGAAATGCTTGTTAATGTATCGACACAATCATCTTTTACTAGTAAATTTTTATCATCCTCACAAACTTCTACTTGGTCTACTAAAGTGCTATCTACACTATTTCCTACTGTTTGCTGTGAATCACAACCAATTGAAGCAGAGGTAGGTAGATTTTTAATGGAATGAGTCAGGTTCTTAGCATGTGCTACATCAGGTAACAAAAATAAAACTTGGTGCTGATTGGATTTCTGTGTTGTACTCTTGGCTGGCTGAAGATCATGAACCACTGTCAAAGTTGAGCAGGAATCTGCAAGATGACCCCCAGGCTGTCCAGTGGTTAGTGAAACGCTGCCTTTATTCATAATGGAAGTCTTTGTTGAGGTGGAGTGTGAAACTGGTCCATTAACAGCAGTTCCTCTAGACAACATAAAGTCTTCACTAGAAACAGTAGGAGCACCAGTGTGTATAAATAGAGAAGCCTGGCCTCCACTTAAGGCTTTTTCAGATCTGTCCCTTGATAGCTCCTCAGTCAGAGTCAATGTGTTGTTCTGAAATGACGTGTCACTCTCTTCTGGTTTGGGAATGCCACCTTCTTCCTCAGATACAAAATTATCATCACACAGGATTTCTTCTTCTTTAGCACCAGTGACTTCAGTATTTGTCTCTAAATCACCCATATTGCTGGTCTGTCCATTAAGTATATTTATACTAAAAAACAAACAAGAAAAAATCAGGCAATTGCAGAAATAAATAATGACAACTTTAATTTACAGCTTTTCTTCAGGATCACTCTTCACACTGTAATCTAAAAAGATGTTTTGAACTTGTCAAAAATCTACTTTTCATTTAGGATATCCAGAACATTTATAGTGAATCAATGAAGCAATAAAAATATTACAATTTTTTTTTTTGCTGCACTATTAATAACCATACAGCAAACTAGTCACTGCCAAATATCCCATTCAAAGAAGCCTGACATATACACACAGGCAAGATGAGGAAAATTAACTGTCAAAACAAAAGCAAATACATTCTATATGTACATAAATACAGATTATCTTCAGTTGTTCTCCAGAAGTAAAAGTAAGAAGGCTACCTAGATATCTGTTAGCAATTCTGGGTTTTTTTTTTAAACATACTTTAGGAAACTAAAACAGTCTTTATATTTCTCAAGGCAGCACTTTTTTTGAAGTTCTTCCATACAACTGACCTCATGCTACATGGAAGCCTGCAGAAGGGAAAAACACAATGAAGCTGATTTTGAGCATCTGATCAGTGACAGAGACACAGCAAAGGATCAAACTCACTGAGGAAAATAGATGCCTTCCTATTCCCTTCTTAAAAAAGGACTCTCCTTGCTTTAAAACAAATAAATCCCATCTGCTTATAAGGCTATTTTAAATAATAGGCAAATTAATCAACATCTTATCAAAGGTGGGGGAAAAATACTGTAAGAACAAAACATTTCATTAGGATCTACCTACCAGATGAAGTCACCGTGTTGAATCCAGAGCATGACACTAACAATATCTTCCAGTACGGAGAACTACTGCATGTTAATTCCCCGTGGGTGGCCTTTCTACAAGTGGCTCTTACTCATACATCAAATCATCTATTCAATGCTTAGTGAGCACAAAGGAGCTGCCTACACATGAAAATCAACGTGTGACCAAGAGAAATGTAAACTTCAGTCTACCCTGGCATTCAGTTTTTATACAGGTCCTCAGAACAGAGTGAGCATAAGGCATTAAAACATTCATCTAGGAGTCAGGACATCTATATTTTACAGAAATCACATATTTTACCCTTAAAGAATACTACTCACTTTGATTTTTTGTGGGATTTGATTCCAGCAATCACATAGTTTCAGTTACTAATTTGCATTTTGAATGGAACTCAGTTAAAAGGAGTTATTACCTAGATTCTTTGAATTAAGTTGTTATAACTCACAACTAATATCCATGTCTTCCTGCAATGGTCCTTTATCGAAATCCAGGAAGACCACTTTGGACATCCTTTTTTCCTACGGAGAGAAAACAACCTAGTTAAACAACACCAGTTTCATCTTCATACACAATGTTTTAAAATATGTCCAGTATTTTAAACTCAGCAGAATGACAGCTATCCACACAATTCAAACCTAACTACAGCTTCACAGAAATTCTCTTTTATTACATTTGTTTTGTTTCAAATCAGCAAAAGGACAAAACAATTATTTAACCTCTTCTGAGTTTGTAAAAAACAAACCCTAATGTAGGATAACTTACTTTTGCAGATGAAGTAATTCTATTTGGAGTAGAAATACAATGAAAAATTAAGTAATGAAAAAATATTTCCTTTGTTACTCCATCACTGAACCAGTCAATTTAGAAATGCTCACATCAGAGCCATAATAAATGTTTAAAGTGTGTGAAATATTTTATTGTATTATCTATAACATACCTTTACGTAAAGGTTCTACTAGACACCCAGTTCCTCACCTTGCCATTTCTTAGATTTTTGCTTTTCTTTGCTGTTTTGAGATGGGTCATTTTTCACTGTAATAACGACTTCCAATAAGATCACATCCAAAGCTATCACCCTAAAATGGTGATAATGCACCACCCAGCAGGAGTCTTTACATCACCTACAGACGTTAGAAATGGGCAGTGCAAACATGCGCCAGGAATCAGTAATGCAGAAGTCAATTAAAAGAAGTGAAGCCTGCAATGATGCACAACAGCTCCAGCAATTTTACAACTCAAAAATGTAGGCTTCATATAGTATCAGGCAGCAAAGTACAAAACTGGTCACAAAACCTTGGTAAGAAATTGAGTAAGACAATTTTGCCTGGAAGATGTGCTTTTCCTTGGTTTACTGCTGCAGAAGCAGACAAAAGCGTGCTCAGTCAATCTGAGAGCCTGTATTAGCTTTTCTCAACAGGAAGCAACGTTGCTAACGAAGTGGTAAATTCAGTGTTAATGAGTGGCTTCACTGTTACCACCTCTGAGGTAAAACCTTCCATGCTCCAAGTTCCACCCATCTGTTCTGGTGTGAGGGGTTCAGGGGAAGAACAGACGCTTCCCATTTAAAGCAGCTTCACTGGTACCCCCGAGCAGCGGGAGGCAGAGGGAGAACACTGCGCTGCTCGGAGACTGCGATCCTCATTATCGGAATGGCTCCTCAACACTTCCCACAGGTTTACAACGTGAAGACAAAATGATGCTGCTCTACGTACAAAATCATACTGCCAATGAGTATTAGTATTAAAGCTGAAGTTAAGCAAGTGGCTAAGACACCCTGTGGTCACCATGAAACTGAAATTCTCTTCAGAGTTACCAGGTGTCTGAGGCATTACCTGACGCAATCTTGTAAGAGACTCCTCTCCATACCGTGCATATGGAGACTGGGAACCTCTCCATACGGGTATGGTTACAAGTCTTCTGTGGTAAAACAGGTATCCCCACAGATTTCAGTCTTTGAATCAAGCCTGAAATGCTTACTGTATCACTAATATCACTGCTACATTTTAGTAATTTTCAGCTAATTATCACTTTTATTCTTATCATCATGTGCCATTATTTTTCCAGCTATCAAGTTGGTACACTTCATTATTTTTTGTGCAGGACAACAACAATAAAGATAACAGTTTTAAAGCGCGGCATTACAGAAAATTTATTTTTAAATTGCAATAATTTAGTCTTGTGATAACATTGAACCAAGATGTAATAATTAATTCAGTTACATTATCTACTCCACATGTCAGAATTTATGCAGTAACAATGACAGGTATAACTAAAGACACAATGCCATGTTTTTTTTAGGAAATGTTATCATCTAACTTGTCTCTTGGGAAAAAAAGAAAAATCAATCATTATAACTAAGATGTAACCAAGGCTATGCAATACACTTGCATGCTTCCATCAGTTTTAAAATTATCTTCTCTATACCATATCAGGAATACAAAACTATTAATTCTTTCAAAATATATAAAAATATTTCAATTTTTAAATTTTCAAATTAAAAATTGAGATCAAACTTTCAATTTGTTGAAAGTACTGTTTATCATATCCACCACCAGGACTATATTACCTCAACCAGATGGTTGAGGTAATTTTTATTTAAGCATCTAGTGCAATATACCTAGGAGATATATACATGTAAAAATGGTGATGGAAAATGTCTGGAAAAGCCTACACAAGTGTACACAATTCCAGCTCCTACCTTTGAAACACACTTCATCTAAAGACTAGGTCGAATTCAACTATTTAAATTCAATTATTCAGTTCAATTCAACTATTTCAGTTAAGCCTAGAATAACTGCAATGCACTTAACAGTGTTATTCTTGGTTTACATGCTATGCTATTTACTATGCAGAAATTATTTCATATTCAAAAGTAGAAAGAAACCAATTATTTATTCAGCTAAGCCACACTCCACTCTCTATTAACTGATTTAAAATCTACCTAATTTTAAATACTGTTTTTATTTATAAAGTATCAGTTTTAAAAATCATAATGTGTTCTGCAGATATGACTGCCTGTGGCCAGACAGCCTAAGCATTAAAAGTGTAAGGTCAGATCTATCTTCAAGCTGACAGATCATAATTTAAATGCCTTAAGCTAATCTTATTGTCTTAAAAAATCTTGAACATCAGTATTTTTGCAAACTATCAGCACTTGCTATAACACCCTTACTACACTACATCTTGAGGTTACTACAGAAGAAATGAGGTGATAATTGCATATTAACATAATTATTTGGTAATCCCTCCAAGCAGGCTTCCTAGGTCACTCAGTAATTCAGATTAGATGCAACCTTCCTGCCATCAGATCTATGCTGTCCACTTTCTGTTCATTAATAATTCTTTTTGATAAGAATGTACTTAAATCCATTGTTCTATGTACATTTTTAACTGTATTTATTAGCAGTAGCTTTATGACCTTTCCAAGTCTGTATTTCATAACTACAACCTTTAGTACGCAGTGGGGTCTCACCAAATGAGGAGCACTGCCTTCATGCAATGCTAGTTCAGTAAAGCTTACACCTCAGTGCAAGCTCAGTGTCATTTCATAGGGATTCACAATAAATTTGAAAGCACACTGGAGCTGAAAACTTAAGACAGAAGAATTTGGCTGAGTTTGTGAAAAGCATGAAGTGCCTTTATGCATTCTGATATCAAGTTTCTCACTAAATTCATAAATATGAGCCAATGAGCTAAAATCACAGAGCAACTATTAAGCAGCACAAAAACTTAGAAGCCATCTCCTAAATGGTTTGAATTTAATCAGCCTAGTTAAAGAAACTGAAGAAATACAGTGTATTTCAGCAGTGCTGTAAGAAAGGCAAAAACGTACTTGTCCTGTGCTAAATAACTCCTCATAAGTCAAGCTCTTTAAGCAGATATGTGAATAAGCAGGACACTCAAGGTGTTGTTCAAATATCCAAGACATAGGAAAGGTGCTTCAGGTTTGCACTGCTCCCATTTAGATTTTTCTTTGAGACTTCATTACGTAAATAGAGAAAACGAACAAAACCTTCCATTTTTCCACAAGCGCTCCTGTACTAAAGCCTTCTCAAGTGACATTGCATTAAAGGTGATGGAACCAAAGTCACAGATTTTTAGGCAACACAGAGAAGACCAGAGAGAGTTTAAGTACATCATGATACAAGACTAAAAAGGCATCTCCTTCCATTTTGCCCCATCAGTCTTTGCTTTAAAACCTTAATCATGGCAAACATCATGCACAGAACTTCTATGAAAAGATAAATGTTTAAGAACCTCTGGAACATAAAGGTTTGTACAGAGTAATAGAGGAACTGGTAGTGTACCAGCACAAACCAGACACATCTTGAGAAAAAAAGAACAACCTTAGAATTCAGCTGCACAATATTTTTGCCTCCTCCATACAGTAATGCACAGAGTTTATGCCTCTGGAGCTTTGGGTGTTATCTAGCAATATTAATGGCCCAAATCAATAAAATCACGATACTTTGATCATTAGAAGAATACCTATTATTTGTTTTCCAGTTTATTTTTTTTTTAAAACAACTATCCCACTCCACCCTTCAGATGGAAATAAAACCACAAAGCCTGATAACTAGAGGTGAGTCAGTGACTCACCTTGCCTTCCCTCAGCTTCTATTTGTGTTTGCAAATTAAGCTCTTGAAAATACATTTCCTTCTGCACAGCAGAAACACTATTTGTAGACTGCCTTACTTAGCTTTGAAATCTACAAATGAACACTCCTGCATTTTTTTAAACTTATGTAGTGAAGAGACAAAATACTGTTAGAAAGTTCACTGAGTTGTCAACTATCTGTGGAAAAAGGTGACCATAGAGAAGTTCTCAGTTATAGAGCAGACATGACAAAAGCAGCTCGTCTTCTCATTAAGATTATAACTGGGAAGATCAAACTCAAAGCACACTTTTTCAGAAAGTTATCTTCCCTAAACTTAGTTCCTAATGCAACAATGTCTTCAAAAGCTCTCTGTCAGAAACAGTAAGTAAACTAAAAAGTCCTCAAAAATATCAAAATTTCAGAAACTTGATTTCTAGTCTAAAACATCTAAGAATGATATGTTAACATCTCATGTGAAAGGAAACTGAACAAAACAACAACCATCATACAATTAGAAACAGAATGATATGTTAACATCTCATGTGAAAGGAAACTGAACAAAACTTAACAACAACCATCATACAATTAGAAATCACAAAATAGAATTCCATTATTGCCACCATCCACTCTTAATCTTACTCCTCTAGTATTGATTTGCTTGGGGAAACAACCAGTTTGTCACAATGGGGGGCATCATGCTAAAATTCAATACTGAAATCAATAATAATAAATGACAGTACAATTTAAGTGTGACAAGAACCACATGTATCACTATAGAAAATACTTCTATGGCTTTAACTGCTCATGCAGCAGTTTAAGACAGTTTCATGGGCAGGTGCTTTTCAAAAGGAACTAGGTATTTCTAAAAGATGACTAGCCAGAACACAAAACCAAGATGTTGAATCTGGTAACTTAAGAAT